TCAAGGAGCTGTGGGATGAATTATGGAGCGTGGCTGGTTGGGTTTTGTTGCTCTTGCCATGGCGCTCCGGTTGGTCTTTGTCCGGTGGCCGGGGGAGCTCCACCGGCGGCTCACGCGCCATTCCGGCAGTGCGTGTATCAGGTGGGAATATAGTTGTTATGGGCAGAATTTGGAGCGCTATTTTTAGATAGAGAAATTAGAGAGAGAAAAAATTCATACAATGAAGATGGGGTTTAAGGTTTAGCATTTAGGTTTAGGGATTAGGGTTTAGGGTTTAACATTTAGCATTTAGGGCTTTGGGTTTAGGGTTTAGGGTTTAGAGTTTAGGGTTTATGGTTTATGATTTATAGTTTAGGGTATAGGGTTTAGGGTTTAGGGTTTAAGGTTTAAGGTTTAAGTTTTAGTGTTTAGGGTTTAGGGTTTAGGGTTTGCTGTTTAGAGTTTAGGGTTTAGGTTTTAGGGTTTAGGATTTTGGGTTTTAGGTTTAGGGTTTATGGGTTAGGGTTTAGGGTATATGGATTAGAGTTTACGATTTATGGTTTAGGATTTATTATTTAGGGTTTAGTGCTAGGGTTTAGGGTTTAGGGTCTAGGGTTTAGAGATTCGGATTTATTATTTAGGGTTTAGGGTTTGGTGTTTAAAGTTTATGATTTAGTTCTTAGGGTTTAGGGTTTAAAGTTTATATTTAGTGTTTCGGTTTAGAGTTAGGGTTAAGGGTTTATAGTTTTATGTTTAGAGTTTAGGATTTAGGGTTTTGGGATTAAGATTTAAGACTTGGGCTTAGGGTTTTGAGTTTATGGTTTATGGTTTAGGGTTTAGGGTTTAGGATTTAGGGTTTAGGATTTAGGATTTACGGTTTAGGGTTTATGGTCTAGGGTTTTAGGTTTAGGGCATAGCATTACGTTTAGGGTTAGAGTTTAGGGGTTAGGGTTTCAGGTTTAAGGGTTAGAGTTTGGATTTACGGTTTAGGGTTTAGGGTTTATGGTTTATGGTTTAGTGTTCCAAGTTAATGCGTAGGGTTTAGGGTTTAGGGTTTAGGATTTAAGTTTAAGGATTTAGGGTTTAGGGTTTAGGGTTTAGGGTTTAAGGTTCAGGATTTAGAGTTTAGAGTTTAGGGTTTAGGGTTTACAGTTAAAGGTTTAGAGTTTAGGATTTTGGATTTTGGATTTAGGGTTTAGGTTTAGGGTTTAGGGTTTAGGGTTTAGGGTTTAGGGTTTAGGGTTTAGGGTTTAGGGTTTAGGGTTTAGGGTTTAGGGTTTAGGGTTTCATGTTAGGTTTTAGGGTTTAGAGTTTAGGAATTAGGGTTTAAGCTTAGGGATTAGGGTTTGGAGTTTAGCATTTAGAGTTATGGTTTAGGGTTTATAATTTAGAGTTTAGGGTTTAGGGTTGAGGGTTTAGAGTCTAGGGTTTGTGGTTTAGCTTTTACGGTTTTGGGTTTAGGGGTTAGAGTTTAAGGTTTAGAGTTTAGGGTGTTGATTTTTGGGTTTAGGGTTTAGGAATTATGGTTCCAAGTTTAGAGTTTAGTATTTAGGGTTTAGAGTTTAGAGTTTAGGATTTGGGGCTTAGGGTTTATGGTTAACGATTTTAGGGTTTTGGGTTTAGGGTTTAGAGTTTAAGGTTTAGGGTAAAGGGTTTAGTTCTTCAGGTTCAATTTTAGGGTCTAGGTTATATGGTTTAGGGTTGAAGGTTTAGGGTTTAGTGTCTAGGGTTTTAGATTAAGGGTTAATGGTTTATGGTTAGGATTTACGGTTTAGGTAATACGGTTTAGGGTCTAGGGTTTAGGTATTACGGTTTAGGATTTAGGATTTAGGATTTTTTTTTATTGGAACGACCCTTGAGGAGGTCAGGGGCTGAACAACACCCCCAGGCTTTATCATATATGAAAAACAAAATATACAAGGAGGGGGGAAAATACCGTACCTCCAATCCTAAAGGTGGGTCAAGAGTCGACCTACCTACTAAGGTTAGTCGACTCCACCCTATACAATAAGAAGTAATATTTAAACTAAGCACCTAGAGAAGACTCCTCCCTTAATACAAAGTTACTAATAATACATAAATAAGGGAAACTCTCCCCTTACAAGAAATAATAAACTAGGACTAAACAAACAACTATGTCTAAAGACATAGTAAATTCAGATAGCATGTATCTCATGAAACAATTAAAACAGAGTAATATGCCTTAATCATATTTAAATAGAATGTTGTTCTACTTTGAACTGAAGGAGTTATGTATAGAATTTGTCTTTATATTGACTGCCTTCTCTTTAAGAGTCTTGTACTATTCAAGGTGGTCGTTTAATTCTTTTCAACTTCTTACATCTGAAATTTTGTACTCCCAATTTTTCCAATAGATAACTTCCTTTTACTGGCTGAGGTAATTTTTGAGGAGTGTATTAATTTTGTACAATATCTTGTTGATGACTGAGTTTGGCCAAGAGATCAGATGTACCATTCGCCTCCCTGTAAGTGTGCACACACTGAAAAAACACACATTGATTAGCTAAAACCTGTAATTCATGTATATACTTGTGTATTCTCCAAGGGGGAATAGCAGCCTGCAAGAACCACTTAGTCAATAATTCAGAATCAACCTCTAAGATAATACTAGTATAATCATGTTGTATACACCAATTTAAGCCAAAACGTGCAGCCTGAATCTCGGCATGATTGTTAGTCCCTTCACCAAGACGTACAGCTAAAGCATATACTATACTCCCTTGATCATCTCTTAAAATGCCTCCCCCTCCAATTTTCCCCGGATTCTTTATAGCACTACCATCCGTTTTCAACTTGTATCTATTACAAGTAGGAGTCTTCCACATAACTAAAGTGTCTCTTAAATCCTGTTGGCATTTTTCAATGTATGTCACGACTTCTGGCCATATTACAGGCAGAGGAAGATATGGAAAACCAGAATTAAGCATTAAAAGCATGTCTTTAATAATCAAATATTTAACTTTGTGGATACTGGATGTTTTTCCTCCATATTTGGCTGAACATCTGTTTTTCCAGAGGTTCCAGCAAATTACTATAGGGAGTGTTTGAATGATAGTCTTGTATGTTGTGTTGTTCCCTGCAATATCACTCCAACACATTAGCTAGTTAGTTAATGAAATCTGCTGAAAATTGAGACCCAAGTTGCGTGGGAAGAACTTCTAGATATGGCCAGCAAAGTGTCATTTAATGAAGATATGATCGACATCATCCCAGCCTTGCTGAATGCAGCAATAACGTTTAACAGGCTCTACTCCAAAATTAGCTAATGTTTCATTGGTTGGCAATTTATGTCTTATTACTCTCCATAGGAGAAAACACATTTTGAAAGGAATATATCGATGCCAAAGTCGAGAATTAATGACAGCAGTATCCTTCTTCCTGCAAATTTCCCAAGCTGATTTACAAGTGAACTTTCCAGCTTCAGTGATTTTCCAGACTGCACTGTCTTTAACTCCCTGCACAAGCTGCACATTAGTATTTAAAATAGAAGGAATAAAGAGAGGAGGAACCTGTTGTCGTAATTTCCTTTCATTCCATTTTCCATTTACTAAAAAGTGTGCAATGGTAGCATTGTTAAGACTTGATATATCAGTAGTATAATTAGCTAGAGCACCCCCTCCTAGCCAGTCATCCCACCAAAAGGAGCAGCTCCCAGAGTTAATCTTCCAGCCTATATTTTCTTCAACTTTAATTTTGGTTTTCATCATGTATCTCCACATCAGTGCTTGTCCAGTATCCACATTTTTTGCAACTGGATGGGCTCTTTGGCAATATTTGGCTTTAAGAAATTGACTACATAAGGTTACTTTAGACCTGAAAGTCCACCATTGTTTGTACGGTAAGGATGTGCAAATGTCTGAGTGGCTTCTGATCCCTACCCCTCCTTCAGTATAGGGTAAGCTCATGGTGTCAGGAGAAGCCCAATGGTATTTCCTTTTATCCTGATCCCTTCCCCAGTAAAAGTCAACAATAATGGCCTCAATATATTTGATAGTAGTGCTAGGCGGAGAAATGGCAGCCATAGTATGTATAGGTATAGATTGCAAGGCATGTTTGATCAAAGTAATTCTGCCCCCAAAGCTAAGTACCCTTGCTTGCCATTGACACACTTTTTTAGAAACCTTCTCAACTAAATATGAATAGTAAATGATCCTTTGTCGACCAATGTACAGAGGACATCCTAGATAAGTAATAGGACTACTTTTTTGGGAAAAAGTAGTAACTTCTTGAGTGGTCTGAATGATGTCCTGTGCTGTATTGTCTGGAACCATAAAATGACTCTTTTCTTTGTTAATTAACTGGCCAGAAGTATGTTCATATTCCCCTATATTGTCCATAATGAGCTTCAGGGAATGTCTGTTAGTAGAAGCAAAAATAATAACATCATCTACAAAACTCAAATGGTTGATCTGGGGTTCTTTAGGTTCCATAAAGAAGCCTGTATAACTTGGATTATGATGTAAAGAATTAAGCAACCTGGTCAGTACCTCTGCTCCTAATATAAATAGGGCAGGGGATAAAGGGTCTCCTTGCTTCAGTCCTCTAGTGGAATGAAAGAAACCATGTATGTGACCATTAATGATAATAGAATACCAAATGTTACTGATAATTCTCCAAACTAAGTCAATAAAAATCTCCCCAAAACCAAATTTCCTTAAGACCAAACATGTGCATGACCAAGACACCCTATCATATGCCTTGGTCATATCAAGTTTGATAAAAACATTCTTTCCAGTATTGGGTTTTTTAATACCCTGAGTAATTTCTTGTGCAAGCATGATTCTTTCTGTTATGTTTCTACCTCTTACAGACCCAGACTGATTGTCTGACAACAATAAAGGTAAAATAGTAGCCAATCTCATTCTCAATATTTTAGAAATTATCTGATTGGTAAAGTTACTAAGGTTGATAGGTCTAAGGTCATTGAATCTTGTAGGCTGTTCAGTTTTCGGAAGCAAAACCAAACATGCATGAGACATGAACTTAGCCAAAATGTTACCTCAAAAGAAAGATTGTACAGCTGCCATCAAATCTTCTTTAATGATACTGCAACAAGCTTGATAAAATTTACCCCCTATACCATCTGGTCCTGCAGCTGAGTTTGGGTTCATAGCAAACACAACTTGTCTGAGTTCCTCTATAATAGGTAATGCTTGCAGGATCTCATTATGTTCAAGAGTGACTGCTGTAGGAAGGAGTTGTAGAACTCTTTCATCTATTCTCTCAGTATGACCAGTAAACATTTGTTGACAATAATCACAGGCTACTTGAGCAATTTGTTCCTCACCCTGTATCCACACCTCATTTTCAGTACAAATTTTATGTAAAAATAGCCTCCTTCTTCTACCTCTCATCAAAGCATGAAAGTATTTGGTATTAGCATCCCCATCCTTAAACCATTGTAGTTGAGTCTTTTGTTTAAGAACAAATTCTTCCATTTTCAAATACTTAATGTAAGTTGCATTCTTCTGGTGAAGATTCTGTCTAATAGCTTCATTGTTATTAGTCATAAGTTCTGCTTCAGAATTCCTTATATTTTCTTCGAACTCCTTGACCTTGGTAAAGATATCTCCATACTCACGTTTAGACCAGGTACTAAGAGTGGCTATTACTCTCTTCATTTTTTGATGTAATCTCCACATTGGGTTGCCAGTAACTCCCTTTTCCCAACACTGATGTACTGTTTTAAGAAAAGTGGCATTGTAGACCCAAAAATGTAAGAACTTGAAATATTTAATATGGCTCTCATTAACTCTAGTCATTTCCATCAACATAGGACTGTCATCAGAACCAACAGAAGATAAATTCTCAATAGTAGTTTGAGGCATAACATCTAACCATTTATCATTAACCATAGACCTATCTAATCTCTTCCAAACTCTAGCTTATGCATCCCTTTGATTGCACCAAGTAAATGGAAGCCCTGTGTATCCTAAATAAGTCAATCCACATGCCTCTATCATTCCAATAAATTCAAAGCTCCTATTCATATTATAAGGTATTCCCCCAAGCTTCTCCTCTATAGAGGTGATAACATTGAAATCACCAATTGTACACCAAGGTAAATCCATATTAGCATAAAAGATTGGCCTGCCCCACAAAGGTCTCCTCATAAAATCCTTACATTTAGCATAGATTAAGGACATCATAAATTGCTCAGGAATATCTATGTGCTTGAAAGTGATAGTGATGTGCTGAGCATGTTTTTCCAGAATATGACCAGTTACTTCATTAGACCAAAACAACCAAATTTTCCCATTAGGAATACTGACTGCATAATCCATCTGTAATTGACCTCTTACCTTATCAATATGAGAATTATCTGTAAATGGTTCCAGCATAGCAATAATAGATAAACGATGATTTTTTTTGAGTGTTTGAAGCCTTTCCAAAGATCCTTTAGTATTGATACTCCTAGCATTCCAACAAATGGTTGTAATCATTAATAACCTTTTGATTTGGACCTAGTCATGGGTCTGCTAGAGGTATCAGACATGCTGGTAATAGGTTGATGAGGGTTGTGTCTAGTTTGTTTCCTTCCCCTTGGGGATAAACCCTGTTGTTCTGTTATTCTTTGAACATCAGTTGATTTATCCTGGAAAGAAGAACCAAGAACTTGACTTGTATGCTTCATGGTGTCTTCTGCATCCTCATCAGACTCATCCATAGATTGATTATCAGGATCTATCTCATCCTCAGAATTAAGTGCCCCATAATCATCAGGAAGCACCTTAACCCTATTACCCTTATTAATCTGTACAACATCATGATCCTGAGGCTGCTTACCAGTATCTATACCATCTGAATCTTTACTAGTACTCTGTTGCAATCTCTTTTTTATAGCCTCTCTTTTCTTTTTCCTCAATCTGTCACTAGATTTGTTATTAAATCTGCCCTGTGATTGCCCTGTATCTGTAACCTGTGGAGTTACAGTTTTCTGTTGATTAGTGATAGGGGTAGTAGGGGCACTAGAGTCTCTACTATGGTCAATATCCATTTCCTCATGTCTAACATGAGTCAATTCCCCCCCCCCCCCTTGGACACCCCTTCATACAGGTTAGTATGTGTCTCATGTCCCTTCCCATCCAAACCTCCAACAGCTACATCAACAATAGTATTACCAACATTATCAATGGGATTAGGGAATAGGAGCATTGAGTCAATACCTGTAACACCTTGCCCTGTAGATATTGCCTCTCATCTACTGATTTCTGTAGCTTGTTTAGAAATTATATTCACCTGTAGTTGCTTATTAGAGGTGTCCTTACCAACATTTGCTGGTTTTTTTATACTCCTCTTAACCCTACTGTGTTATAACTGTTGTTTGAGGTCGGCTATCTTTTTTGTTACCTTTGTGTTTGTCGAGAACCTCTAAACTAGGTGATGACTCCTGCACATCAAGATTAATATAAGTGTTTTGAGTAGGAATAGTAAGTATACGTGCCTGTTTGGTAGACTGTTCTGCTTGTCTGGTATTGTCTCTAGGTGCATGTGGTGGATTGTTGTTCCTCCTCCTTTGTGTTTGCCACTGATCTTCTTCGTGATAATACATGTGTTCCTGCTCTCTTTGCTGTTGATATTGCTGATTATTATCCTCCTTAAGATCAATATCTTTGTGTCCCTTTGTTTGTTGAGGATTATTATCCCTATCTTTATTATGCTTGTTGTTCACCTTTTTCCAATTCCCTTTTCTTTTTATCCTCATCCATTTGTCTTATAGTACAATCACCTTCCAAATTCCCTTGATGCTCACAATAGAAACAATAATCAGGAATATTATCATATTCTATTTTTTGCCATCTACCATCATTGATATTCTCTCCTATATAACCCATCCAAATATAATGAGGTCTCTTTTGAGTAAGATCAACTTGCACCTTCACCCTAGCTTGACTTCCCCTCGTCTTTTTAATAGATGCAGAATCTAAGTATAAAACCTTGCCAATAGGAGAAAGCAATACAAAAACATACTCCTTATTATAGCAATGCCAAGGTAATTCAGGTAGTGAAATCCAGATAGGGACTATAGGGGTTTCTTAAGCAGGTTTAAAATTAGGAGTCCAAACTTGAATTCTCATCACCTGCCCAGCTATACTCATCCTTTGCTTAGTCCAAACCATATTATAATCATGCTCATTATCAAGATCAATATAAACGTGTCGAGAATTAAAGTGTACAATTTTAACTCCACCAGATAATTGAGTTTGTAAAATAATGTTATTCCTAATAAGCTCGACTTTTGGCATGGTATTACTGAATTTCCCAATGAGAGTGTATTTACAAGTTGCAGCTAAGTCTCGAATGACTTCTTCCTTCACATACAGAACAGCAGGCCGACATTGCTTAGTGGTAATTTCAGGAGTAGTTAAATTGATGTGAACATCACTTTTGGCTTAATTATGTCTAAGACGATCATCAGAAGTCTGTACAACCGTATAAGGAGTAGGAGCAGTGGCTGTATCAGTTTTAGGAAGATTGGAAGGATTACCTTGAATTCAATCATTCCTAGTAGTATTGTTATTAGGTTTAAGAGCTTGTCTATCAAAATTACTAGAGATTCTAGGAAAATTTGACTGATAAGCCTGCTGTTGATCAACTCTAATATTGGCGTTAACCGTATTACCAGAATTCTGTTTAGTAGGATCATTGGATTTCCCATGTTCTTTAGCAATCCAAGTCAATTGATCATTCTCATTTCTACGATACTCAGTACCAGAATTCAAATGAGATTTATTTGCATGAATCACATTTGTACGAGAAGTATCAATTGGAGCCATACCTGTGTCATGGCCCTGTTTTGTGGTAATTTGATCATCCATATGAGAAGTGCTAGATTGTCCCAATTCTTGAACATGTTTCTTACCTTCCCTATGTTGATTTTTTTGGGAGCAAACACCTGCGTATCCTTACCTTGTTGCAAATTTATGAAATTCGTCACCGAAATTCTGGTCGAGTAACCAAAATTTTCTTTGCCGGTTATTCCTCCAAGGAAAGTACTTGAAGTTTTAGTGGCATGTCCTCCACGACCAATATTGTATTCCCCAGTATTAGACTCCATTCGAATCACCTCCTCACTGCTGTGATTTTGATGGCGCAATTGGGGCGATTCACCAAAGCTACTCGCCACCGTCGCCTGTTGATTTCTCGCATCTGGGATGGTGAAATCATATGATTTTGGATTATGATGAAGATCTTGGGATGAGGTTTCTTTGTCACCTGTCCTTGTTCCTTGATTTAGACTCGATTCTTCTATAGAACGATGTGTACGAGTCCCGTCCACCTCCCTTTCAGCCATTGCAGTGTGGATCGCTTCTTCTCTCATCTACGAGGAGTTGTAGGATGAATCTAAAGACGATTTTTGTAGCCATGGAATTATATTTTTCCTGGGCATCATAGTAGATGGATCTGGTGGTCTAAATCTATCTGCTGGCAGCTCATTTTCCAACCTATTGATGCTGAAACGTTTCAAAAATTAGCCGAGAAAGCTAAATTCTTGAGAGAATCAAGAGAGAGAAAAAATTTAGAGAGAGAAAAAATTCTTGAAATGAGGAAGCTTAGGATTTAGGATTTAAGGTTTAGAGTTAGGGTTTAGGGTTTAAAGTTTAGGATTTAGGATTTAGGGTTTGGGGTTTAAAGTTTAGTATTTAGGTCTTAGGGTGTAGGGTCTAGGGTTTAGGCTTTTTATTTAATATTTTGGTTTAGGGTTAGGGTTAAGGGTTTAGGGTTTTCTGTTTAGAGTTTAGGATTTAGGGTTTTCGGATTAGATTTAGGGTTTAGGGTTTAGGACTAGGGTTTAGGGTTTTGAGGTTATGGTTTAAAGTTTAAGGTTTAGGGTTTATGGTCTAGGGTTTTGGGTTTAGGGCTTAGGGTTTATGGTTAGCGTTATAGCTTAAGGATTAGGGTTTTAGGTTTAGGGTTAAGTGTTATAGTTTCTATTTAGGGTTTAGGGTTTAGGTTTAGTGTTTAGGATTAACGGTTTAGGGTTTATGGTTTATGGTTTAGGGTTCCAAGTTTAATGTTTAGAGTTTAGGGTTTAGGGTTTAGGATTTAGTGTTTAGTGTTTATGATTTAATTTTAAGGATTTAGGGTTTATGGTCTAGGGTTTAGGGTTTAGGGTTTAGAGTTAGGTTTTAGGGTTTAGAATTTAGGAATTAGGGTTTAGGCTTAGGGATTTGGGTTTAGGGTTTAGCATTTAGAGTTATGGTTTAGGGTTTAGGGTTTATGGTTTAGAGTTTAGGATTTAGGGTTTAGTGTTTCAAGTTTAGGGTTTAGGGTTTAGAGTCTAGGGTTTGTGGTTATGTTTTTAGGGTTTTGGTTGTAGGGGTTAGGGTTTAAGGTTTAGAGTTTAGGGTTTGTGGTTATGTTTTTAGGGTTTTGGTTTTAGGGGTTAGGGTTTAAGGTTTAGAGTTTCGGGTTTTGATTTTCGGGTTTAGGGTTTAGGAATTGTGGTGCAAAGTTTAGAGTTTAGTATTTAAGGTTTAGAGTTAAGTGCTTAGGATTTGGGGTTTAGGGTTTAGGGTTTATGGTTAACGATTTTAGGGTTTTGGGTTTAGAGTTTAGATTTTAAGCTTTAGGGTCAAGGGTTTAGGTCTTCAGGTTCTAAATTTAGGGTCTAGGTTATATGGTTTAGTGTTTAACACTACAAGAAAAAGGCTTATTAAGGACCACGATTTAGCGACGGATTGCAAATACGGTCCCTAAAACTTTACATATAGGGATGAATTTTTTTTCTCATCCCTATTTCATTATTTTATTTCTTAATCCCCAAATGGGTCTATGAAAAAGCAAATATCCCGTCTCTAAAGCTGAAATACACTAAAGGAGGCTCTTAAATAATTTCTCTCTGAAAGCCCTAGAATTCCTAAAACTCACAAATTGCTCGTCTCTCAGAAGGTGGGAGCAAAACCTTCTTGTCTACCACTGCTATTCTACATCAAGAGTACGGTTTTGTTTCTCGTACATCTAATTTGTCTCCGTATTCTTCTTTTTCAGTTGAAATCAAAATTATTTTCCTTCTGTCATTTCTATTTCTCTGATATAGAATTTCGTGATTGAGAGTATTTAGGATACTAATTGTTGTTATATAAGGGATACAAGTTATAGTGCTGGGTTTAAAGCTGGATCTTGGAGGTTAAGGAAAAGACCTTTTGGAGTGTATTTTAGGAATTTCTCTGTTAGGTTTTCGATAAGCATGTTGGGGAATTTCTTGAAAGTCCGATAAGATTTCCTTGGTGTTGTCGTTATGATTTCTTATGAGATGATTGGTAAAAATTTCAACCTTTAGCGTTAACTCTGGACTTATAAGGTTTTTTTTAATCTGCAAGCAACTTCTTATATTTGGTAAGTGTAACCTGATTTTAAAAATAATCAGATGAGAAAGAAAATTGTGTGAATTGATCTTGTTATAGTATTTCAAAGAGATTTTCTGTTGGAAGACCGTGATCTGTTTATTGAGTACCATTCTAGTTGGAGTGACAAACTCAATGGTAACTCTTTGTTGTAAATATTTTTTGTTCATTCTGTCGAGAACTGCTCTGTCCAAGAAAGATTTACATTGCCTTTAGTTTTTAAGCATTATATTCTAGACTCTATTGTTTCAAGACTTATTTTCAGTGGTGTTAAATTGCTCTTCTCAGTGCATTAACAAGCTCGTCCCTTGAATTTTACATATGCTGAATAAAAAAACAAGATTCCATGTTTCTGTGTGGTGAGATTCATTGCTTTTGAGCTTGTTCTTGATAGGAGATAGTGAATGTATAATATATTATCTTATAATAAAAGTAAAATTTCTTTATAGAGTTTAGGTGTGATCTCAACTTATTATTCTATTGTATTAGTACGAATAACTTTATTGATTAGTAGAAGTGGAGTTGTAGTCTAAAATAGAGATTATCATATTTGACACTTTGTTATTGAGATAGTACTTGACTATAGCAAAAATTTGGGCTAATTTAGTTAATGACTGATACATAAATTATGAATTTAATTTGGAAGCACTGTTAGCACAACATTATTTTAAAGAAATCGATGTATCCGATATCTATACTTGACACTTTTTGTGGATCGTAAGTTAGTAAATTGATTACACAGAAATAACTTGAAAGTAAAAAAGAAAGTTATCAGTGTTTCCATTCTAGAAATATGACTGAGATCAATTTGTATGAACAAACCATTGAAATGTTGCTATTTGCTACAAGTGAATATTAATAATCTTAGCACAACTCCAAAGTTACTAAGCACTGAATTTTGATATCCAAAAATGTTGCTTTCTATTTAGCGCGTCAAAACTTTTAGATACATTTTAAATGCTTCCTCTTTGTTGCTACTGTTTGAAACTAAAAAGAAGAGATAGATTGTTTCCCTGCTTAAATTCTTGATCACAAGCATGTTTATATATTTATTCGCTTTTAATATTAATCATTGCAAAATGTTTTCACCTTCTTCTCCCTCATTGTGAATGCTATAAAATTGTTGTTCTTCATGCTTTTGCTCTCAAAATTTCTCTCGACTTCTTGGTTTCTATGTATAGTATCACGCAGTGAAGGTAATTGTTCGTCCCTATAATGCATGGTGTCATGTGTTACTATCCTTACTACCTATTTTCTATTTGTCGTGGCTAAAAGTTCCTTCTTTATTTGTTGTTAAAGGTCCTTGGCCTCAACAAGAAATGTTGATGTTATTTTGTTTTAAGAATGTGCATGTGTAGGAAGAGATAAAATAGCTTAACCAGTTAAATAAATTAATTTGAGTTCAACACACTAGTTTTCACCCTCAAACATCATCTATTTCAGGAGAATGACTATTCTAATTGTTGAAGATACCAAGTAAGTAACTTATCCTTAACTTCAATTTATTTTTTTGGTTTAAGTCAGCTAAATGAATTAAAATGTGAGCTTGAACACAAAAATAGTATTTACAACAAGAAGTTTGGTGCAAAGTTGAGTATTGATGTTTTTTATTCTATTGTGGTGATGAGAACCAAGGGCTTATTGTGTTTAACGCTGAAGTTGGTCACGTTTGCAGAAAAATGATCACGACACTGAAGAAATATCAATGTAGTACCAATTTGTTCTTATTTTGAGTTTAACTCAGTGTTTAGTTACTCACATTGCCTTTTATTTTTCTTGAACGAGTGAAGTTTAGTGATATCATTTATAGTATTCGGTTGTTTGAAAAGCAGACCTTTATGCATCTATATCATAATTGCATGGCTTAAAATACTTTGGAGTGGGGATGTTCAAGGTTTCCCTTTTAGCTGAATGCTGAAGGTTATAGCATGTTACAAAAATTATTAGGATATGCTTAGAGTATGGAATCATTGGATTGGTCACCAGATAGATATTGTAGTAGCTTCTAAAGTTTCGAAAGTGGCACTTAGACACTCATTTATTTGGATATTGTTGCAGACTTGTCCTCAAACTGTTATTCTTATTAAATTCTTATTGTAGGTGATTTCAAAAGGAATTTATCATAAGTTCACATAAATTCATGTTCGAGCTCTAAGTTTTGAGCTTAAAACATATTTTGTATTCCATCTTATATGACTTTACATGAAATAATGTGACTGATGTTTTTGTGAGTTTGTCAATGTAAGTAAATGAAGGTAGCAGTGCATCTAATTAAAATGCACTGAAAAGGACTTATCTTGTTATGTTGTTTGATATTTGAATTACAATTACCCTGAAAAATCGAATAGCAACAACCTGACCATACATTCTCTATTTATTTTTTCATTAATAAAGATGAATTTGTTTTGCCAGAAGATAACTTCAAGTCATTTGTTGGATTTTCTAACTTTTTGTTGTTTGCATATTTTCTCACAACTTTTTCTATTTTTGTGTTTTATTTTGAAGGGTATGAGTTGCACTCAATAGAATGTGATAGGTAAAATCTTAAATTATTCCATATGAACTAATGATATATCTCATATCCTGTGCAGGTATTGCTAACAAGTCAAGTTGTAGAAAAAGAAGACTTGGATACAAGTTGACAAGTTTCTTAGTTATTTTTCTTGTATTAGGTGAATAATTGTGTAAAAAATACAATGACTTATGTTATTGTTATATAATTTTGGTATTGCGATTTTAATAAATAATCTGATTATATGTGTTTGTTTTCTATGTTACAATATTTATTTCTGTTGTACAAGTTTGAGAATGTTATAGTTTAGGACCATAATTTATAGTACTACAAATCACATTCAGCAACTATATTAGGTTGTACATAACAAACTTTACCGACCTGAAGTTAGTCCCTAATGATTAATAACGACAAGAAATAATATCTTACCATCCAGAAGTTTTGGCACTAAAAGACATTTAGAGACAAGAAATTCCCACGCCCCTGAAGGTTTTCAAGGACCAGTAAAAAACGCTCGTCGCTATTCACCTTTAGCGACGGAGGCTATAGGGACGAGTGGAGACCAGAATTTTCTGGACTCTAATACGTTTTAGGGACCAGAAATAGAATTTTAGGGACCATATTTCCCTTCGCTAGTAGCTATTTTTCTTGTAGTGTAAGGTTTAGGGTTCCAAGTTTAGGGCTTAGGGTTTAGTGTTTGGGGTTTTAGATTAAGGGTTAATGGTTTAGGGTTAGGGTTTAGGGTTTAGGGTTTTAGGGTTTAGGGCTTAGAGTTTATGGTTTAGGGTTTAGGGTTTAGGGATTACGGTTTAGGGTATTTGGTTTAGGGTCTAGGGTTTTGGGTTTTGGGTTTGGGTTAATGGTTTAGGGTTAGGGTTTAGGGTTTAGGGTTTTAGGGTTTAGGGCTTAGAGTTTATGGTTTAGGGTTTAGGGTTTAGGGATTACGGTTTAGGGTATTTGGTTTAGGGTCTAGGGTTTTGGGTTTTGGGTTTAGGATTTAGGTTTTGGGTTAGGGTTTAGGGTTTAGGGTTTAGGATTTAAGGTTGAGGGTTTAAGGTTTAGAGTTTAGGATTTAGGGTTTATCGTTTACGTGTAGGGTTTAGCTTTAGGGTTTATGGTTTAGGGTTTAGGGTTTAAAGTTAGGGTGTAGGGTTTAGCACTTAGTGTTTACTGTTTAGGGTTATCGATTTATAGTTTAGGCTTTAGGGTTTAGTATTTAGGGTTTAGTGTTTAGAGTTTAGGTTTATGGATTAGGGTTTAGGCTTTAGCATTTAGTGTTCAGGGCTTTCGGTTTAGGGTTTAGGGTTTAGAGTTTATGTTTTAGGGTTTATGGTTTATAGTTTAGGGTATAAGGATTAGGGTGTAGGGTTTTATGTTTAAGGTTTAAGTTTTAGTGTTTAGGGTTTAGGGTTTAGGGTTTAGTGTTTAGAGTTTAGGGTTTAGGTTTTAGGGTTTATGATTTTGGGTTTTAGGTTTAGGGTTTATGGGTTAGGGTTTATGATATAGGGATTAGAGTTTAGGATTTAGGGTTTAGGATTTACGATTTATGGTTTAGGGTTTATGGTTTAGGGTTTAGGGTTTACGGTTTAGTGTTAAGGTTTTAAGATCTAGGATTTAGTGATTCGGATTTATTGTTTAGGGTTCAGGGTTTAAAGTTTAGGATTTAGGTCTTAGGGTTTAGGATTTAGTCTAGTGTTTAGAATTTTTATTTAGTGTTTCAGTTAAGGGTTAGTGTTAAGGGTTTAGGTATTTATGTTAGAGTTTAGGATTTAGGGTTTTGGGATTAGCTTTGGGCTTTAGGCTTTAGGACTTTGAGTTTATGGTTTAAAGTTTAAGGTTTAGGGTTCAGGGTTTAGGGTTTATGGTTTATGGTTTAGGGTTTAGGGTTTATGGTCTAGGATTTTGAGTTTAGGGCATAGGGTTTATGTTTAGTGTTAGAGTTTAGGGGTTAGGGATTCAAGTTTAGGTTTTAGGGATTAGAGTTTGGATTTAGGGTTTAGGGTTTAGGTTTATTGTTTAGGATTAAGGGTTTATGGATTATGGTTTATGGTTTAGGGTTCCAAGTTTAATATTTAGTGTTTATGATTTAGGTTTAAGGATTTAGGGTTTAGGGTTTAGGGTTTAGGATTTAGCGATTAGGGTTTAAAGTTTAGGGTTTAGGGTTTAGAATTTAGAGTTAAAGGTTTAGAGTTTAAGATTTAGGATTTAAGATTAAGGGTTTAGGGTTAAGGGTTAGTATTTAGGGTTTAGGGTTTAGGTTTAGGGTTTAGAGTTTACGAATTAGGGTTTAGGCTTAGGGATTTGTGTTTAGGGTTTAGCATTTAGAGTTATGGTTTAGAGTTTATGGGTTAGAGTTTAGGGTTTAGGCTTTAGGGTTCCAAGTTTATGTTTTAAGGTTTATAGTCTAGGGTTTGTGGTTAAGCTCTAAAGGTTTTGGGTTTAGGGGTTAGGGTTTAAGGATTAGGGTTTAAGGTTTAGAGTTTAGGGTTTTAATTTTCGGGGTTAGGGTTTAGGAATTATGGTTCCAAGTTTAGCGTTTAGTATTTAGGGTTTAGAGTTTAGAGCTTAGGATTTGGAGTTTAGGGTTTAGGGTTTAGGGTTGATGGTTAACGGTTTTAGGGTTTTGGGTTTAGGGTTTAGAGTTTAGGGTTTAAGGTGAAGGGTTTAGGTCTTTAGGTTCCAATTTTAGGGTCTAGGTTATATAGTTTAGAGTTTAAGGTTTAGGTTTCCAAGTTTAGGGTTTCGTGTCTAGGGTTTTAGATTAAGGGTTAATGGTTTAGGGTTAGGATTTAGGGTTTAGGGTTTAGGGCTTAGAGTTTATGGCTTAAGGTTCCAAGTTTTGCGTTTAGGGTTTAGGTATTACGGTTTAGGGTCTTGGGTTTTGGGTTTACGGTTTAGTATTTAGATTTTGGGTAGAGTTTAGGGTTTAGGGTTTAAGGTTTAGGTTTTAGGTTTAAGGTTTAAGGTTTAGAGTTTAGGATTTAGGGTTTAGCTTTAGGGTTTACGATTTAACATTTAGTGTTTAGTTTTTAGGGTTTAGGATTTAGAGTTTAGGATTTAACGTTTAGGTTTATGGATTATGGTTTAGGGTTTAGCATTTAGCGTTCAGGGCTTTGGGTTTAGGGTTTAGGGTTTACAGTTTAGGGTTCATGGTTTATGGTTCATAGTTTATGGTATAAGGTTTAGGGTTTATGGTTTAGGGTTTAAGGTTTAAGTTTTAGTGTTTAGGGTTTAAAGTTTAGGGTTTAGGGTTTAGTGTTTAGGGTTTAGTGTTTAGAGTTTTAGGTTTTAGGGTTTAGGATTTTGGGTTTTAGGTTTAGGGTTTATGCGTTAGGGTTTAGGGTATAGGGATTAGAGTTTAGGATTTAGGATTTAGGGTTTAGTGTTAGGGTTTAGAGTTTAGGATTTAGGTTTTAGGGTTTAGAGATTTGAATTTATTGTTTAGGGCATAAGGTTTAGGGTTTGGGATTTAAAGTTTGGGATTTAGGTCTTACGGTTTAGGGTTTAGGCTAGGATTTAGAGTTTTTATTTAATGTTTCAATTTAGGGTTAGGGTTAAGGGTTTAGGGTTTTATGTTTAGAGTTTAAGATTTAGGTTTCTGGGATTAAGTTTAGGGTTTAGGGTTTAGGACTAGGGTTTAGGGTTTTGAGTTTATGGTTTAATGTTTAAGCTTTAGGGTTTATGGTTTATGGTTTATGGTTTAGGGTTTATGGTCTAGGGTTTTGGGTTTAGGGATTATGGTTTATGGTTTAGGATTCTAAGTTTAATGTTTAGGGTTTAGGGTTTAGGGTTTATGATTTAAATTTAATGATTTAGGGTTTAGTGTTTAGGGTTTAGGGTTTAGAGTCAAGAGTTTAGGTCTTCAGGTTCAAATTTTAGGGTCTAGGTTATATGGTTAGTGTTTGAGGTTCAGGGTTCCAAGTTTAGGGTTTAGGGTTTAGGGTTTAGTGTTTGGGGTTTTAGATTAAGGGTTAATGGTTTAGGGTTTAGCGTTTTAGGGTTTACGGCTTAGAGTTTGTGGTTTGGGGTTTAGGATTTAGGGAATGCGGTTTAGGGTCTAGGGTTTTGGGTTTAGGGTTTAGGATTTGATTTAGGGTTTAGGATTAGTGTTTATGGTTTAATTTTAGGGTTTAGGGTTTAGGGTTTAGGATTTAAGGTTTAGGGTTTAAGGTTTAGAGTTTAGGATATAGGGTTTAGGGTTTAGGTGTAAGGTTTAGCTTTAGGGATTACGGTTTAGGGTTTAGGTGTAGGATTTAGCTTTAGGGATTACGGTTTAGGGTTTAGGGTTTAGAGTTAGGGTATAGGGTTTAGCATTTAGTGTTTAAGGTTGACAATTTACGATTTAGGATTTAGGGTTTAGAGTTTACTATTTAGGGTTTAGGGTTTAGGGTTTAGCATTTACTGTTTAGTGTTTAAGGTTGATGATTTACGATTTAGGATTTAGGGTTTAGAGTTTACTAATTAGGGTTTAGAGTTTAGGTTTAGGGATTCGGGTTTAGGCTTTAGCATTTAGTGTTCAGGGCTTTGGGTTTAGGGTTTAGGGTTTAGATTTTATGGTTTAGGGTTTATGGTTTATAGTTTAGGATATAGGGATTAGGGTTTAGGGTTTAATGTTTAAGGTTTAAGTTTTAGTGTTCAGGGTTTAGGGTTTAGGGTTTAGGGTTTAAAGTTTGGGGTTTAGGGTTTAGGGTTTAGTGTTTAGAGTGTAGGGTTTAGCTTTTAAGATTTATGATTTTGGGTTTTTGGTTTAGGGTTTATGGGTTAGGGTTTAGGGTATAGGGATTAGAGTTTAGGATATAGGGTTTATGATTTAGGGTTTAGGGTTTAGGGTTTAGGGTTTACGATTTAGTGTTTAGGTTTTAGGATATAGGATTTAGAGATTCAGATTTATTGTTTAGGGTTTAGGGTTTGGGGTTTAAAGTTTAGGATTTATGTCTTAGGGTTTAGGGTTTAGGATTTTTTATTTTTTTATTTTTTTATTTGAACGACCCTTGGGGGCATCAGGGGCTTAGCAACACCCCCAGTCCTTAGCATTAATAACAAAACAAAAATACAGGGAGGGGGACATAAACCTTACCTCCGAACCTATGGTGGTACATGTGTCAACCTTCCTATAAAGGCTAGTCGACTCATCCCCGTACTAGAAAAGGAACCTACTAACTATGCGCCTAGAGGAGAGGACTCCTCTCCGTACATCATAACTAGTAAGCAATAAACTAGGTAGAC